GGAGATATTTGAGCATCAAAATAGCCTCTTCTAGTGAAATTTTTTTAGTAGGCTCAAATTTGATTGTTTAGAGCCTCGGCTCTATGTAACTTTTCCCTTTAAAGATACACCTAATTTTGATTGGTCTAAGCCTCGGCCTTAACCTTTTTTGAATTCAAAACTTGATTAGACCTTTAGCCATCCCCAAACAGTTGGGATGAGCTAGGCCAATGATAGTGACAAAATGCTTGATTACAATCTCACCTTGCTACAGTTTGATTAAAATAAATACTAGATTATATTTTTACTATGCTTTGTGACACACCCAAGCTATCAGATTCAACATCGGTTAGTTGTAAGTAATTGTGACTCTCAATACCAAAAGTAAATAGTTTCGTTGTAAAATATCATGGACATGATGCTAGTGTATCAAAATTTGGAAGGTTTATGTTGATATGAAATTTCAAAAAAATTTAATTCCAAGGAATATCATCCTAGTGTATTGAAATTTGAAACGTTTATAGTGATGTGATATTTCGAGAAAATTTGAAGCCCTAAAAGGAGCAAGTGTTATAGGTCGTATCTCTTGCTTACTTTTCCTTTGGACCGAAGCTTTTTTTTTTTTTTTTTAATATACTTCACAGTAAATTTCGAAAAAATTGCGCGTACAGGGGCGCGCGATCTCCACCTCATCAAGATCGAATATCGATGACGTGGCGACAACGTATTGGCCAACTGCCTGCCTGGTCTTAAAATATCAACGTCCCAATCGACCTTCCATGATGGGAATCAACGGACAAAAACAGACCCAACAAGAACCAAATTTGTGGGTCCCACATATGCAATAATGCATAATGTTATGGATCCGTACCCCATACGCCTCATGTCATGCACATGGCCATGCGGGCCCCCCTCCTCTAATAAGGGCAAAGTGGTAATTACGTGATAACAACCCATCATGCCCATGTCATGTTTTTGTCACATGTCATCATCCATGACATGGTCATGTCATCTCCATTAATGGCCGACCGTTTTAGGAACAGGATGGGCAGAACATTTTTGTCAAATTTTTATAGAAAAATGTTTTTTATTTTTTGGGTTCTCTTGTGTTATTTTTTATTTGATATTTGTTTAGATGTAGACTGAAAAGGCCAGGACCACGGCCTAACTCTTGTCTACGTGGTCGGCCCCACGTTCAGCAAATGCCTCATGATAGAAGGCAATAATAGTAATTTGATGCTCTTTTGATATTTGATGACATGAGAGCTTGCACTCAAAAAATAATGTTAGATTTTAGGCAAAATTTTTATAGGCCTTAAATTTTTCATATTATTTAATGGAAGTTTTTTTTTTCTAGGTGCATAAATTGTTTTTTTTTAAATGATTTTATCGTACCCCTTCATCTCTTATTTTTTGTTTTATTGATTTTTTTTTCATAGAATTTAGCCACAACAAATTTTTTTATACTATTTTAACTCAAATTTTTTCTTAAAAGAAAGGTTTCTATGCTTCCTCTATATCATAGAAATTCTATCATCCTTCTATCATTTAGCCGTCCAATTTTGATCAAGAGAGTCACTCACTATTTGATCTTAGATCCGACGTCTCAAAGCATTTTATTTTTTTTATACGAATTGTATGAATATGAAATTTGGTACGTGCCATTTTCTCATTGGGGCGCACCTATAAAAAATATTAAAAATAAGTTTTTGATAAAATTTAATAACCAAAATACCCCTTGAAACGTTTACGGGTAATTTTGTCATTTTATTTTATTGAAAATAATTTTTTTTTATATTTTTTGCTAGTGCGAGTTTAATAGAGGAATGAAGATCCAAAATTTGGAGTTAAAATAGTTTATAAAAATAAAATAAAAATAAAATAGTGTAGAGACGTGACATTGTGATTGGGGCAATCTTAGCCCTCCATTCAGAATGGACGGTTGGATAAGGTGAAGGATAGAACTTCTATGCTGTAGGGGAAGCGTAGAAAGCTTGCCTATTTTTTAATAGGTGAAAAGAGAAAAAGATGGTTAAAAAGTTTTTGGGTTGAATATTTGTTGGCAGCCAATTTTTATATTCAAAAGTCAATAAAAGAAAGAGATAAGAGATGATGGGGTATGGTGAAATCTTTAAGAGTTTCATAATGCTGCTTAAAAAAAAACGGGAAGAATGATCTATCATGAAATAATATGAGAAATTAGAGGTCTATATGAAATTTACCCTAAATTTTATGAAACAAGTTTTATTTATGGACACGGTTTCTATGTATCCATGTAGAAATGAGTCACCTCTTAAAAATATATTTTTGAGATGTATTTTTGGACTTAATTTTTAAGGACATGTGATGTGATCATAAATATGAAAAATAAATAAATTTTTAAATATTAAAAATAATATTTTTATTAAAAAAATATTTGGACGGCTAGTTTCAATTGTTTTTAGATGAAGCATCTATTTGCATCCATCTTTAAAATAGATGCTTTATACTTTGGTACTGGATATTGTAGATATGCAATCCAACCAACATGAAACAATTTTCTTTTATTTATTTAATATTCAATTTTTTTTTAGTAAATATTCAACTTCTCCTACAGTGTTGATCACATAGGAAACTACATGGAAATATCAAACCATGTATTATGGGAATGGCTCTGCAACCCAAATATAAGATCCTATGTCACAAGTATTGAACTAGCCATCGAAACAAATACGGATTGTAGTTCAGTCGAACTAGGTCGAATCGGTTGGATTGGATTGAAAAGAAAGAAATAGTAATAAGAAATATATTGTTAAAATTTCAATTTTGATTCACTCAAAATTGGCCATTTAAATCGATCTCGTATTAGTTTTGACAGGTTTTTTTTATCAAACACAATCTTTACTATGGAATAGTTAAGCCAAGGCACCAATTGGTAGTTCGACCAATCCAACTAGTGAATTCGTTTAGATATTGATAACTATGATTAGATCTTAGTTTCCGGATGTTAGGTAATTTCTTTTAAGTTTCAGATACAAAAAAAATCAAGAGGTTCAACCCCTAAGGTATATTCTAGTGGGGAATCCGGCAATGGAAAACAAAAATGGAAGAGTTGGGAACTTTAAGCTTTTTGGTTGGCGAATTTATCAAAACACACCTAATGTTTCCACAATCTGATATCTTTCCATATTTCTTGATCTAATTGGAAATAGACATTTTTCTTTTGATCAAAATTTTAATATCCCACAAACGACACATCAAAATAAGTTTTTTTTAAATTTTCATTACACATTATAGGGTTCTCGGGACCCCCCAAGCTTGCCGTCTGTCTCTCAAAAGCCATGTCCCTCTCTTGGAGACCAATATCCGTATTGGAGATCCATTCCCATAACTCTCAATGGGTGACCTTCAAAAGATGAGTATTATATCATTCTTTACTCTTTTATAAATCACTATTCTTGCTTCTCAACAAAGTCAAATTTATATTTTTCATAATACCCTAATATTTAGAAAAAAATATGGGAATAGCGATTTAGCTATCACCAAACCCAAGACACAAACCTCTTAGATAGTTCAGCTTTTTGTTGTGTTTAGTAAATTTACCAAGAAGTTTTTAGCTATTGTGGTCACTTTGAACAAATTACACACTTGCTCTGTCGGGCTTAAAATACCTACCCAGATCTGATCATTAAAACAGTGGACGGCCTCTATTCAACCCTACAACATGATTCTTTTCGAGCTCCAACCTCCTAAATTGGGCATTCTCTTGTTAACCGTAGGATGCGATTCTGTTTTTTTTTCTTTTCTTTATCGGTAGTGTCATTGACTAGGTCACATCCCCTCGATTTGAGGTCGTGAAAGCATTCATTTTTATCCGAGGGAGCAAATTTTTACTGCAGGAGCATATTATCTTATCTCAATTCACATGGGCTCCAAATGGGTTAACCCTTGAACTTGTTTTTTTTCTTTTGCTTTTCTTTATATATTTAGTGGTTTGATTGACTTGGTCACATCCCCATGATTTGAGGTCATAACAGTACTCATTCTTATTAGACGGAGCGAATATACATTTTGTTCATGCACGAGCATATAATCTTATCCCTATTTATTTTGCCCCAAATATCCAGTAAAGGAAATCTTCAAGGGTTAAAACAGTGAATTAAAAAAAAAAAAGATCCGTGACCCGATGAATGTACAGTCCAAATAGCCATTTACTATAGAGAAAAATCGGTTCATAAAATATGTGAAAAACAGTGAAATGGCGAAAATATGTTTGAATCGGTAAATCATCAATTCAGATCACTGTCTTTCTGTACAAAACCGTTGGTTCCCTTTTAAACTCGACCGTTTTTTTATATGTATACAAAACCCAAACAAGGTGATCGATTTTAACGTCAAACCAAGTTCAAACTTTAAAAAAAAAAATTAAATTTTGTGACACATCCAAGCCCTCAAACTTCACATAAGATGGTTGTAAGTTATTGTGAACGCCCTGTATGGGTCTCATTATGCACAATCCCTTTTTCATATCACGGGTTAAAATATGGGGAACAAAAGCGTGGTGTAAACACAAACAAATAGAAAACGACCATCATCTCCTTACTCGGTGTCGAATTATCTTTTGAGATCGACTCGATTTTTCCTTTTCTTCTTTTTGGACCATAAATTATTATGTGATTATTATTTCTGCATTTAGGTTACATCCCTATGTGGGCCAAAGGGGCAGGGTGACCGCCCTTTATCCCCTTCCTCCCATGACTCATGCCTCGTGCTCTCATCCCACTTTGTCTTTTTCACGAATCCGCATTTCTCACTGTAAAGAGATAATAAATTAGAGAGAGAATATCAGGGAAAACAAAAGGAGACATTCTGCTCACTAGAGAGAGAATAACATAGGTAGTCTTTGGCACAAACAGAAGCAAATGCACCAGTAGAGCTCAGAGAGATTAGAACAAAAAAAATTCCCCTTTACTAGTGCTAGAGAGAGAGAGAGAGTTTAGAACAACTAATTTTTTTTCTACATGGAAAAAGCTAGAGAGAGAGAGCAGAGTAGAAGAACCAAATTCTTTTTTTCCTTAACTATGTTGTCAAAACCAGGTCCAGCTAAAGTTTTGCGCAGGGCCTTGTTTGGGAGTTAGAAAATTTACAAAAACAACATATAAACATGGAAATAACTGTTTTAATCACAGTTAAAACTTCCATTAATCCACAACACAGAGCTGAGACTCCAACAAGGTGTAGTAATTAGCGGTTTCATCCTCAATTTCCCACAGGCCATCATAGCATCTCGTCCAACCTCTCTCTACCCCTTCCTTCTCTTCGCTCTCTAGACTTTCCTCTTTCTCTTGTCTCTCTAGCTCCTGGTGCAGAGGGGGGCTAGGGGGAATGCCCAGCTCGTCGTCCGAGGCTTCTAGAAGGTATCTCATCACCTTCCCTTCTTCTTCGTCCTCTTCTAAGATGAACGGTGATGGGGCGGAGAGAGGGATGGGGTTAGGTTCGGGTGCAGGTTCGGGCGAGGAGGAGAGCTCTTGCTGAAGAGTGTGTATAACAGGAGAGAGAAGGTCCTCTGTTGGTTCGTCTTCGTCGGCTTCGAGGAGAGAGAGAATATCGCTGAAGCATGCTCTCTTTGGTGAGCCTGTTGGCTCTCCTTCTTCCTCTTCTCTGCAGCGCTTTCTCTCACTATTAGCCATTGAAGACTGGGTTTAAAGAGAGAAAGGAGGGTCTTGTTGCGGGAAAATGGTGGGGGTTGGGAGGAGAGAGGATGGAAATAAAGATATGGGCCGTAGAGGGAGGGAGGGAGGGAGAGAGTTTTTCAAGAGCTAGAGAGAGAAAATCTAGAGAGAGGATTTGGTAAGAGAATAGTGAAGTTTCTTAGAGGGAGTCCGCGTAACAGGGATGAGACAGGAGAGAGAGAAGGCACTGTTGGGAGCAAAGTATTGAGAGAGAGAAACCTGGATATGGTGTAGGCCTAGGAAAAGAGAGAGTAGCTTAGAAGAGAGAGAAAGAGAAATAATGTTAAGTGTAGGGGATAGGGAGACGTGGTAAGGCTTAAGGAGAAGAGTTAAATAGAGGGGCAGTAAGGAGAGGGGATGAGAGAAGAGTAGTGAAATGTGGAGTGCTTTAGAGAGACGTGGAAAGACAAATCATCAAAGTGTTAAACAGAGAGAGAGATTTGTTTAAATAAGAGAGAGAGAGAGAGAGAGAAATGAATAAAAGAGGAGGGAGGGAGGGAGAGAATGGGTGTGAAAAGCGCAGATGAACCAACTACCCAGAAGGTGGGTTAGAGAGAGAAACGAGTAGAGGGGAGACAGGCTGATGTTTCAAGGGGAGTGCCGCTTTATATAAAGAGACCGAAGACCAGGCCTGCACCCCTCATAAAGTAATCACAAAAAATAACAAATATTTGAAATAAAGAAAAGAACGAAAAAAAAAAAAAGGGGCAAAACGCAAAGCCCAATCAAAGTCACAAACAGGCAAACTGTAACCGACACACCCACCGATACAAATAGAGATACGTGTAAACATAAAAAAGCATCGCCGTACCCGAGGAATTTCTGATTTTTTCGCCATACCCCATTCCTCGGCCCAATATCTCGATTCTTCGCGTAGGTAGTCGACCATCATCAACTCCTCGCCACGGCGCCTCGAGCTACTCTCGATTCCTCGCCATAATATTTTCTTTTTTCTCCTAGTAAGAACGGATGTTTTTAAACTTTAGAATACTGAAGTAGATCGGTCATCTTTTGAATCCATATAAATTATTGATCATAAAAAAACTATTAAAATAAAATAAAGTTTATAAATTGGGATTTACAGCAATCTAAAATAATAATAAATTAACTTAAAAAATAAAATATCATAAAAAGATCGCTCCATATTAAACAATGAAAGATTTCATTTGTTCTTAGTGAGATCTCATTTCCTCGTCAATTCCACTCGTCGGCCCTAAATTCCTCAGCCCAATACCGCCATCACTGGCGAATTCCTCGCCGCGTTACGTAGGCAAAATTTCACCACACGTGCCCAACCAACGGATCATGAGTCACATGTGTAGAGCACACGTGCATTTACGTGCTAATATGCATTGCACGAACGAGCCTTCATTGGCGCACAACTATTTTTAAGTTTCATTATTATTATTTTTTTTTACTATTAAAAAGGCGATCTTCCCCCATAAAGAGGGGCTTACTATGTTTGTTCCATGGTCCCATGTGTCAATTTAATGCCATTATATTTAATCTAAGTTTGAGAGATTTGTGGTCAGACAACGTCTTTTGAACAGTTCACGTGAACCCCACTAAGCCTCTTTTGCTCATTTGTACAGGTAGATTGCACGTTGTTGAAGTTATCACAAGAAAATTAAAATTGAGATTAATATTAGGAAAAAATAAAAAATTTTATGGATGGAATAAATTTGAATAAAAGTGGTGAGACCGAGGCTTGAAACTTCGACTTCGAATGCATCGTTAGAAGCCCGAAAACCGAAACTTTGGATTCCTAAATCACGATTTTAGTGAGCCATATTTTGAAGGGAAGCATATACACACAAGTATAGCGACGTGTACGATAGACCGTAGATATCTAGACTATAGATCATCTCCATCTTGACAATAGACGGTAGAGATTAACCACACATTTGACAGCGAAAAAATATGAAGGATGTTCCACCATTCGACTACGGGGAAATATCATGGACCCACCACCAAAGTGCGAATGAAAACTGATGCTCTAGAGGTGGACCAAGGTCTAGGCTTTATGAAAACAAAATAAAGCCTCACCTCAAATCCTCGTCTAGAAAGCACTTTCGGCAATATAAATCTCCATGACAGATCTAAATCAATTTCAATACTGCTAATAAATTTTGAAATTAAAAAAATGGTACAGATCTTGCAGATCTATGAACACTTATTTTTAGGGTAACTTGGATGATCCAGATAATTTATTATAATATGTAAAATGTGTAAAGCTTAAAATCCTTATTTTTTTTCGCAACTAATATGTTCAAGCTGAGATGATGGATATAAAAGTTTCTCAATACTTGAATTGTAATTTTTGATAAATTATGAGATGAGGCTTTACTTATTTTGACAGGGCTGCAGTTCTCCCAAACTATTTTCCTTTTTTCTAAAATTCACTAATTGAACTTTTGTACCAAGGTTATAGTTGTGTTGTCAAATAAGGGTTAATGACGTACATTGTCTCATTCCAGGAAAAGAAATGGCAAAAGAGGAGCTAGTAAAAAAAAGAAGAAGTGTATATTATAAAACTATTTATTTTTTGATATAAGGAAGTCACAATCACTTTTAACTATTGAAGTAAATGGTTTCGTTATATCGTTAACTACGCAACTTCAAATCTAATGATAAATGATGATTGTGACATCCATATATCAAAAGTAAATAGTTTCGTTATATACATTTTCTTAAAACCTCATGTAGATTATACGTTGATACATGGTGTTTAGTATGATATAGCCAAGTGTTAGACTACTTATCAGATGAGAGAAAGTTCTTGTCTAGCTAAAATTAATCGAATTGTCAACTAAATCAGATCAACTGGATTTCAAAAACATATATAAAAACAGAAAAAATAATACAAATATATACAAAAAGATTTATGCTATTTTATTTGACCGGTTTAACCAGTTAAATCGGCTAAACTGATCACACAGTGATTCTAACTGATTTTTTACCGAACCAAATTTTCATTTTTCGATAAGACCATCCAAGGTGCCCGCTAGCAGTTTGGGCGGTCTTAATTACTGTAATTTAATCATATATTTATGTATTATTAAAGTTTGTTGTAGTGCATGGACTAGCTCTTCACTATCATTGATTTATGGATTTTAATTGTATGGTCCACGGAACTGATTTTGGGTAACTTTGTTATGTAACTACCTTTTGATCTGATAAAATTAAGTACTCTTGTCAAAAAAGAAAAGAACAAAAAAATTAATGGTATGGTCCCCCACCTGTTATATACAAACAATGCACAACATTTAATACATTCTACTATCTTTTAACAAGCGCAAGAAAAGAAGCTTGTCCATAGTTTTACAGTTTGTTTAATGTACCAAAAAACCTGGTTCTTGGATTGATTTTCGAGAAGCTACACAATGGCCTGTTTTGTTAGGATGTGTCAAATTTTCTATTTTTTGTTTTCTTTTTCCTTTTTTATAGCTGGCGTTGAATAATGTTAAGCCGGCTGAAAAATCCAAATTTAAATACATCTCCACCAATTATTCTAAGTTTAAAAGGGAGTAGGTTTAGGTCCGATCAAGGAAACATGTTACAAAGATTTAAAAAAGAAAAGAAAAAGGAAATACATGTTATAGTAAGTCCACCCTCCCAAAGTCTATATTAAAAGTTCATTTTGTATTCAAAATTTTACAGGTCCGTTGTCTAGAAACTGCTACCATAAATAATAAATGAAAAATAAAATTTCAACCTTACAATTGGGATGTTTTATAATACTTATTGAACTGTTCATTTTAATTATTTAAAGATCGTCATATCTAGGGGTGGTAATGGACTCAGACCCGACCTGGGTCCAGGTGTTTAAAAATTGGACTCGGTGGATCAGGTTTGGGCTCAAATATTGGACTATTATATATTATATAAATAATAATACTATTCGGATCCGGGTCCATGTGGATCCGACCCTAATAGTATTATTATTTATATAATATATAATATTTAAATGAATATAACCATGCATTTTAAGTTATAATATATAAATAATACATATCTTTATATCTAACATAATATTTAAATATAATATATATATTATTTTTGGGTCGGGACGGGTCGGGTGGGGTCCAGCTAGATCCAAATTTCTCAAAAACCAGAGCGCGCACGATGAGTGACTCACCAAATACTTCTCTTTTTAAAAATTCTTCCAAGAGGAGAGTATACTGCGTTTAGACTGTAGACTAAGTCTAAAAACTTGAAAATATTATTCTTTACTTTAAAAGGAGGATTCTTGGGTGGACAGTTTGGACTCTCCAACACCCTAGTGCCTAGATGAATCTAAACCGTCCATATTATTGGGGCCTACCACTACATCTAACATTTGTACGGTGGCTTGAAACTTCCTAGAAGGTGAAACTTCTTAAGAGTATGAGAGGAGAGAGAATGGATTAAGGGACCTTCCATTTTTTATTTACACCTTATTACTTAATAAAATAATTAAAGTAAAGATAGGATTTACAAAGTAAGAATCCCCTTGACATACATATACTTTAATGTAACATTATAATTTTTCATTAAAAATAAATTTATTATAAGGATGTTGGGACAAGCGTGAGACACTATGAGCTTCACACCGCTGGGCAGCATGGGCTCATTCTTTTTTCTAATATTTGGTGGTTTGAATAATTGTCCATAATCAGCCTAATTATAATTTAATTTCTTTTAAAATACAAGCATTGTTAAGCTGATCTAAATTATTATATAACTAAAGAAAGAGATACATTTGCCAAGACAACATCCGTCTTTGATGCTACAGTTTGGCGCTTAGACCGTTAGATTTTTTTTTTCTTTTTCTTTACTTCATGGTTTGGCACAACTGCCCTACTATACGGTTGTAAAAATACGATATGCATTTCCTTCATTCTTATTAATAAAAGTGAATAAGGGTTTCTACCCCACTGGCTTATCGAAAGAAAAAGAGAGAGATGTGGCATTCTGAATTTTTCAATCTATTGGAATGCCATTTATTTAACATTGGAAGTTAGCATCTCCCTTTTAATTTGAAGTTAGCATCTCCCTTTCAACTTTGACGCTTGAAAAAAAAGAACCTGAAACTAACTTTCCATTACACAAGAAAGGTATTAGAAGGTGAAGCGTAATATGTACTATTTTGCCCTCCTTTTTATGGAGGATAAATGGAAATTTAAGGAAATATCATGGAAGGGGTAAAAATCCTTTAAAAATCATTGATGGGGATCAAAATATTTCATCTAATTTTAGCGCCCATTGGTTATAGAAGTTTTCCAAAAACAAATATCTTTTAAAATGAACGAATTGCCCTTTTTTAAGATTATGAACTTTGAACAAGTAGGGATATATGTGTAGTTTCACCCAACTAAGGCGCCTGAAATCTCCTCTACATGTTCAAGGTGGGGTCAAATTATTGAAATGCATTTCTTTGTTTAGGATTTCCAACCTGCATGAAGGCAATTTGGGTATTTTTAAAAATATATTTTGAAGCAGTACCTAAGTGAAATGAAAGATGAAAAATAAATTTTCTAATGCAACTTGCGATCTTTTGGCCTTGCATTTGATGATTTTGTAAGAGTTTTGACTCCTTAAAGTTTAAATGGGGTAAGATA